ATGACCTAAGCTGAAGGCAGATGCTTAACTGAATGAGCCACCCAGGTGCCCCGAGAATGAATTTCTTTACAGAACATAAATACACTTGGATTAATCAACTTTCTCAGATACCAAATGTCTGAGCCATGATACAGATAGGGCACTAATAAGATCACCCTGATACGGGGCAAAAACTCAGGCTCCCCAACCATCTGCAACATCCAGCTGAGGTCTTTGCTTAACACTTTGGACCTTACAAGATCACACTGTGTGAGTGGGGTCAGTAAAGACCTTTTCAACGACCTGTATCCATGTACCTAGTCAGCAGATCTATCCTTTCCTGCTTATTAGACCATAAATGTTAATTCACATCCGATCTACTAAGAGTCACTGAGGTGGCACAATCATGACCCTAAGCCAACAATACCAAAAAAAGAGCATTTGATTAGTCCATTTATAATAAGATTTCTCTGCTCCGAAATATCTTCCCGCAACTGATATGTAAGCATGATGCTAAAATAGAACAAAAACCCCCATCCCTATTATAATATACTTAACTGGAAAAAACACCAAATTCTCTAATTTAAGTGTAGAACAAGAAAGAAACAGCACCTTTGAAAGTTTCAGTAATGAAATCATTGAAATTTTCTCAATGAAAATTGTAGATTAATCTTTGATTTATACCACGATAAAAGAAACAGTCAAGCAAGACAAGCATTTCAAGAGAGCGCCTGGAAATCCTACTCTCTTATCACAGTTTAGATAACCATGGTGGCTTTTTATGACCAAGAATCACTTGGTTGTTTTTAGTTTTATAAGTTATTTCTTTCTCTAATGACTGTTTAAAATAAAAAATCACACTATCAACAAAGTCTCAGATAAAAATTCACCTAAGTATGTTTCCTGCTCTCTCCTGTATTTGCCCTGCTTCAGCTAAGCCCCATGAAGGCATTATACCCAACTGAAGTGGAGAAGTAGACCACCATTAACACACACCAACCATACCCCCAATAGCCCTATCATTTGATACGTTACCAGATAATAAACCGAGGAGAGGCAGGGAAAGGTTTCATTCAGCAGAGCCCCAAAGACATTTAATGCATTTAGTCTGTGTCAATAACCTTGGCCCATGGATCTTCTACACCCCCCCACTCCGTACCCACAAAAGCCAAGGTAATAGGAAAAATTAAATTCTTTGCCCAATTTCCCCAATTTGTCCTTTCCTAAGAATTACTTGGGGTGCCTGTGAAAATGAAGTTTCCAAGCTCCCTTTCCTAGAGAGTCCGTGGCAGTAGACCTGAGATGAGGCCCAGGATTCCCTATTTCATGAAATGACTCAGGTAAGTCTTAACAGGTAAATTCGAGAAATACTGTTGGTGCTGGCTTTCCCCAGTAAACCTTGCCCTGCTGTGAGCCAATCAAGAAGAGTCTGGAAGGTAGCTGTTCAAAGGGGAGAAGGCTCCGAGGGTCAGCTTCAGCATGGCCTCCGGAGTTCTGGAAAGCCCTGAGTCATTTCTCATTGGAGCATGGGGCATCCCCACTTTCCTCAGAGGCCAAGTGGGGCCTGGGGACTCAGTTTTCTCTGGTGTCCAAGGATGACCTCAAGGCTCTCCAGATGGGGTGGGTCACTCCCACAGGGCTGTCACAGGCCCAGTGTTATACATATTTTCAAAGGCTTTGGCATCCTGGCTCCTGGTTCCAACTGTACCTGGATCAAAAGATTGACTTTATTGACAGAACGGGGGCAGATGCAACAAGCAGCTGAGTGGGAGTGCTCCTGAACCCATGGCTTCCATCTTTGCCCTCAGTGCCTGCAGCTTTAAGATGCCCAAAACATAATGTGTAGTGATGCTCTCTCACAACCACCTGTCAGTAACTAAGCAAAATCCTGCAGACCCTGGTGGCCTTGCAATGAACTAAAATCTTGTACTCAGACGATAAATAGCCATCCTTCTCAGCCACTTGTGCTACTAAGAAGTTCACACGCTAATAGTAATAAAACCTAACAGCATTTACTGTGGACTAAAACCTGTGCTAAGCCCTTTACATGCTGTAACGTGCACTTCATTCACTCATCTCAGAACTTATTATCAAGAGCCCAGTATGACAATAGGTGCTGAGATACCTCAGTGAACCAAACAGACAAAAATCCCTGAATTCACGGACCTCACAGTCTAGGGAGGTAGACAATAAAAGTTATAGACAAACTACGCAGTATGTCCGAAGAGTCAAGTACTTAGTTAAACTAAGTTTCTTAAAGGGGAAAGGGGTTCGGGAAAGGGGCGTGTGGAGGAGCATGGAGGTTGTAATTTTAAATATGGCACTCACCAGCTAAGGGGAGCCTAGAGCAAAGCCTTGAAGGAGGGCCCAAGTGAGCCGTGTGGACACGTGGCACAGCGCTCTGGCAGAAGAAGCGCCAGCACAAGGCTCCAAGGTCAGGAGTGTGCAGAGTGCCCAGGGAGCACAAGGAAGCCCGTGTGGCTGGCCAGAGCGACCAAAAGAGATACATGGTGAGGCCAGGGAGGCAACCAAGGCCACAATGGGAGGGCCTGGAGGCCACTAAAAGAACTCTAGCTCTTCTTCTGAGAGAAATGGGGAGCTGGGGGAAGGTTCTGAATAGAATGAAGTGTTCCAATTTATATTTTTCAGGATTACGCTGGCTGTAGGGTTAAGAATAGATTGTGAGGGGGGATTAGGAACCTTTTGTCAGAACCCAGGTGAGAGATGATGGTGGCTTGACCAAGGAGGTGGTGGTAGAGGGAAGAGCAATGCTCCACCTCTGGATGTAGAGACAATGGGAGTTTCCTAAAGAATGGAACAGTTCTGTCACTTTGGTGACAGATGGTAACTAGACTTATTGTGGTGATCATTTTGCAACATGTACAAAAACGTGAATCATTGTGTTGTATGCCTGAAACTAATATAATGTTGTATGTCATTTATACTTCAATTAAAAAATTGATTTGGGGGCGCCTGGGTGGCTCAGTCGTTGAGCATCTGCCTTCGGCTCGGGGCGTGATCCCAGGGTCCTGGGATCGAGCCCCGCATCAGGCTCCCTGCTCCGCGGGAAGCCTGCTCTCTCTCTCCCCTCCCCCCGCTTGTGTTCCCTCGCTCGCTGTCTCTCTCTCTGTCAAATAAATAAATAAAATCATTTATAAATAAATAAATAAATAAATAATTGATTTGACTGGGGTGCCTGCGTGGCTCAGTCAGTTAAGCATCCGACTCCTGATCTCAGCTCAAGTCCTGATGTCAGGGTTGCAAGTTTAAGCCCTGTGTTGGGCTCTACGCTGGGCATGGAGCCTACTATAAAAAAAAAAAAAAATGTATTTGATCGTGAAGAAAAAAAAAACTAACAGTTCGCAGATATGGGGTCTAAGATAAAGAAGGGAGCTAAGGATGACTCCGAGGTTTCTGGACAATAAAACTACCATTAACTGAAATGGAAAAGACAGATTACAGGTAAGACAAGTTTCGAAAATGTGGAAATCTTGTCCTGGACACACTCCATCTGAGATTACTCGACATCCAAATGGAGTTGTCAAGTAGGCAGCTGGGTATATTAGTCTAGAGTCCAGAGGAGAGAAACAGGCTGGAGATATCAGTTTGACAACTAACAGTTAAAGCCATGAGAAACAATACAGTGGCAGAGTAAGTAAGCGAAGGAGGCCCCGGAACTGAGCTCGGAGGTACGCGGCCGCTTACAGGTCAGGAAGGGGTCAAGCACAGGGGATGGAGGAGCAGCCAGGGAGGAAGAAGACACAAGAGTGCAGCATTGTGGAAATCAAAATGAACATCCCAGAAGAGAGAGTGCTCAATGGCACCCTATACATACATAATCCTTAGTGGATCCACCTGGGAGGCAAGGGTGGGAACACAGTCAAAATGTAAAGAGAGACTTGATACCTTCCACTATTTTTTCCTTTAACAAAAGGACCTTCTGAGGAGAGAAAAAGACCTCAAGTCATAACTGATGAACGTACCAGAGCTAAGAAGTAGGGGTAGAAGGCAGGCCCTTGTGCAGGGACGGCAGCAGCGACACCGTCTTGTGCTCCATTATCCCTAAGTGTATGCACAAGCAGTTTACCTGAATATGAGGTATACCTGCGACTGGCAGGGAAAGGGCCAGTCCCGCCGCCAAACTGGGCACCTCCAGCACAGGTGCTCTACGGAGCCCATAGAGCATCCTCTGGGTTGTTTGAGAGACTAATTCTCACAAGTCTGCTTATTTTTTAACCCACACCTGCTGAAACCTTGTAGTCACATGCATAAAGGCTAACTGCCACAACCAAGAGAATGCGCAGAGGAAAACTTGGAGGTGATCGGCCTACATCAACTGAGAGGAGCCTGGGGCTCCTGAGGGCGTGCATCCCAGCGGAGCACATCCATATCTACCCCAAATGAAGCTTGACCTTTACAGCACCATGCCCCAGTGCCACAAACCAATTTCCAGTGCACTTCAGCACCATGCAGGAAGAGGCCGTATAGGGTCAGAGAAGGAGCTCTGACCTCGAAAGGCAGGAGATGTGGGTTCTGGTGCTGGCTCTACCATAAAAGCTGTGTGAAAACGGCCAAGCCCCTTATAATGTGCAAAAGAACGGACCTCATCTCCACTTCGTGTTTCAGAGTCTCGGTTTCCTCTTATGGACAATACTACAGAGCACAGAGGTTAAAAGAATGGGCTTTGGAGTCAGGCTGCCCAGGTCTACTGTTCATTGTTAACCAACTTTCTGAAACCTCATTTTTAGTATCTATTAAATGTGGGTAACAGTACACACCACATGAAGAACTATAAGAACAAAATGCCTAGTAATGGTGTGGACTCTCCACTGCCTATCATAATGCTACTAGTCTCCCTATCTAATGAAAACATATTATTAGTAAGCTTCTGATAAAGATGTATACCAGATCACCTGAAATAATGTCAAGAACAAAGAAAATCACAATTTAGTTAGCCAAAAAAGTCAGAAAAATCAAAAAATTAACAGCAGAAGTGAAGTACTGTGCCATATGAGATTTACCTTGAACAGGGATCTCCCCATAGTTTGGTCTCTTATCTGACAGCGCCGTCAGGGGTTTGGATGTAGAGATTGGTCCACTTATGGAATGTCTCTAAAATCGTAACATAAACAGTGTCATAGTTAGCCTAATTCTAGAGCTGGGACTCACAAATAAAGTCAACATTGCAGACAATAGTATTTAGTTATGAACTGCCATCATTCTTTCCATATTGCTGTGGTAAGACTAAAACACACACACACACACACACACACACACACACACACACTTATAGGCATATAATATGATCAATACACTATTGAAAAAATTTATACAGAAATATGCCCTGTGCCCATTACTCAGTTTTCCCCAATGGTAACATTTACAGCAAACTATCTCAACCGGTATACTGACATTGTTTTGTTTAAAGAGAATTCTTAACTATTACACACCAATTGGCGAAACACGGATGTGCTCCTATACTACAAGAGCCCCAGTACAACCTGTCATCTTAATTCAGCGCCACCACAATGGCTTTGCCCCTGGCTTCCTCATCTCCGGACGGACACATGCATTCCTCTGCGTGCAGCCACAAGGATGCGCCACAAATACTTCCTCTCAGGTCCTCAGCTTCATCTCCTGCCACCTCTGTGTAATGCTCAAATACCACCGAACTACTCATTTCCACACAGACCATGGTGTTCACCGTCACCATCCTTTTTGTTGTGCTGATTTTCCCAGCTTTTCCCCCAGCCCTTTTTTACCTAGCGAACCTCTAACTACTCATTTCATATTTCCCAGCAGAAAAGGGTGTGAGGTTCAGCCTCTTCACATTCTCACCAACACCTGAGACTGTCTTTCAGTTTTAGCCATCCTAAAGGGTACATGGTGGGAGCGTACTGGGAATTTAATTTTTACTTCCCCAGTGACTAATGATGTTGAACATCTTCTCATGTGTTTCCTGGCCGTTTGTGTATCTTCTCTAAGGAAGGGACTTTTAAAATCTTTTGTCCACTATTTACTGGTTTGTCTTCAATCAAGAAGACGAAAACGTCTTCTTGGAATACGAGTGTTTTGACAGATAAATGTACTGTGATTATATTCTCCTGAGTCTATAACTTATCTTTCATTTTCTTAATGTCTCTCAGAAGTTTCAAATTTTGATGTCCAATTTATCCAGTTTTCTTTCATGGCTCCTTCTTTTTATGTCCTAAATAAGAAATCTTGGTCTTCTCGAAGGTCGGGATGATTTTCTCTAATGTTTTCATCTAGAAGTTTTGTAGTTTTAGCTTTCACATGTAGGTCTACAATCAATTTTGATTTTTATAAATGCCATGAGGTAACAGTTGTGGTTATTTTTTTTTTTCCACATAGATTCTAGCTGTTCCGGAATCCTTTGTTGGAAAGGCTACCCCTCTCCCATTTAATTACCTTGGCAGCTCTGCTGAAAATCAGCTGACCTATTTCTGGATTATCTAATCTACTGATGTAATGTCTACATTTAAACTTATGTCCATAAGTGCAGCTGCTGGTACTCTGGCTATCTGTGGGATGGGGAGTTTATCAGCTTAATGAAGATTTCAAATAAACAAACAAACTGTCAGTACCACAATGTCTTGATTACTCTAAGTGCTGAAATCAGGTAGGAGAAGTCCTCCAAATTTCTTTTTTTTTAACCTCCCAGATGCTTTGGATATTCAGGGTCCTTTGAATTTCCATATAAATTTAAAATTGTATTATCAATTTCTACAAAATAGCATGCAGGATTATCATTGGGATTGTGTTGAATCTACAGATCAGTGTGAGGGAGAGCTGTAAGATAATAACAATACTGTCTTCCAGTTCATGAATATATCTCTCCACTTATTACTTCTTCAATTTCCCTCAGCAATATTTTATACTTTCTGTTCTACAGATCTTACACAGCATTTTATTAAATGTATTGCTAAGTATTTCAATTTTCAATGGTTCACTGGAGTGACTGGATCTAAGAGAGAGCAAGAGGAATCCTCAAGACAGAAGCTAATCTTTTTTATAATCTTACCTTGTGATGTCCCACCCCTTTTGCCATACATACTCTATTCATCAGAAATGAGTCGCGGAGTCCAGCCAACACTCAAGAGGAGCAGATTCCACAAGAGCGTGACTTCTGGGAGGTAAGAGTCACTAAGAAGCATTTCAGAGGCTGAGTACCCCAGCTACTTATGGATCTCCTTGGCTTTTCTGAGGTTTATTTTTAAGGTCTTTCAGGGTGGGTCTAGTACAGTACGTACTCCAGAGCTGCAATGCAGTTCTACTTTAGGGTGGGGCCCTCCGGGGTCTCTAAGGAATGCTCCAAGTATTCCAGGATTTCTCCACCGTGACCAGTGGGAATGCAAATGATTCCCTGCCCTGTGTGAACTATGGGAAGTGTTTACCTGACAGCTCCCTGGTAACGTTCTTTCCTGAGAAACTGTTCTTACTCAGCCTTGTGGGGGTTCACCCTGTGTCTGGGCAGACTGGCATTCAGGCAAAGACTCACAGGGATGCCTTTGCAGAGGTCCTCCCTCTGTGTAGCTCCCTCCTCCCAGGTCCTCTGCCCTGCAAATTCCAGCACTCTCATTCTCCCTGGACACCGATCTGTGTCTCCTCAGACCCAGCTAGTTCCCCCTTCCTGGCTCCATCTGGCTTCATCACCCCTGCACCACCATCTGGAACCTCCCAACAGGAAAAGTGTGGGCCCAGCAGGACTTTTATTTAAGTACCACCATCTCATACTGCCTACTGTACATTTCTGAATATAATTTCTTCCTATAATTTGTCCGGCTTTCGAGTTGCTTGGGATGGCAGAGTAATCCAGCCTGTCACTCCCTCGTAGCCAGAAGTAGAATTCCCACTCAGGGAGTTTTGAAAAACTAACAATCCCAGTCTTAGGCCATATTCCCTAGAGATTCTCGTTCACTAGGATGAGGCCTGGGAATCTATGTGTTTAAAACCTCTCCACATGGTTTTTATGCACAATTAGATCTGAGAAGCATTGTGCTAACCAAGTACTAAAAAGCTACTGAATGCGACTTGTAATTATTAACTTTTATCAAGTTACAGAGATGAGATTTTTCACTTCCTATCTTTATAAAGATTTACAAAGTCATGCTTTGTATATTAAACTTCAATGCATATAAAAAGCATTAAATCTATAGTAGGATTGGAATTCCCTTGCCTTCCTTGTAAATTAAGAGCATTAACATCTTCTGTACACATGCAAATGCAGAGCCACTAATTTGCAACATGAAAAATGCAGAAGGAGTGCACTTTTACCCTAAATTTCACACAGGAAAAAGTTAAAAAGTAAAACAAAACAAAACAAAACACCAACAGATTCACTTGTAAAATACATGGCCAATAGGTAACAAAGCACAAAAGTCTCCATTCAAAAATAAAACGCTCCCAAATCCTATTCTAGTTTTAGGGAAGAGGTATGCCTAAGACTACCCTGTATCAAAGGGTACTAGGTACTAGGTTTATGGCCATTTTTCCTTTGGCTACTCTCACTTACGTGGAAAAACTCCACCACAGCCACTCTTTCCAAAAGTGGCTGACCAGCAAGGGCACAGTGAGAGGCCTCATGAGTACTGGAGAGTAACAACCATCTCCCTTGCTTCTGGTCTACATTTCCACAGTGGCCAGGAAGAGCAATGGATCAGCAATGCCCTTTGTGCTAGACTGCTAAAAAATGGCCCATAATGAACCTTCTGCTGAAACCCCCAACTCTGACTCTGGGCTAGCCTTATGACTTGTGGTTGGAGCTTGAGACACTGCACCATGAAGGAACCTGAGAGGAAAGACCACATGGAGAGAGTGGCCTGGCCATCCTTGCTGAGCCCAGGCCCCAGCCCTCCCTGTGGCTAAGTGCAGCTGCAGGAATGAGCCCATACAAAGTCAGCCTAGGCAACACACAAATGTGAAAAATCATACAATTGCTCCTTTAAACCACTAAGCTTTGAAGTGATTTATTAGGTAGCAGGGGCTGACACACAACAACTACATATTCTACTTAGAGAGACGGTCCCTGAAGCCACAGTGCCCAGGTTCAAATCCCAGCTCTACCACATCTTCATTATATGACCCTCAGCAAGCTGCTTAACCTTTCTGGGCCTCAGTTTCCATATGTGAAAACTAGAGGTAAGAATAGTAACTGATACCCAACAGGGCTGTTGTGATGATTAAATGAATTCACATTATAAAGTACATGGAATAGTGTAGAACACACAGCAAGTGCTCAATACTTGTTAGCTATCACTATTACTTTCAGAAGAGTAACACAATGGACATTTTCATAATTTATCTCAATGAAGGATATTTACATCATTTTACAACCCTAACTACATTCCTCACAAGGCGGTAATATGCCGCCCTAACATAAGTGTAAATGACTATTAGGAGGACTGACTTTCAGAGGCTGAGGCCCCCACAGCCTCTATGGTCACGGACACTTACCTGCATAGGCGAGACAGCTGCGGCAGGAGGAGTTTTCATAGGACTTGGACTCAAAGGTGTGCGAGGAATCGCGGCTGCAGTGGGGTTTGGTACTACAGAAACAAACAAACAAATACTGAATGCATCATGGTAGAGTGGAAGCTTTCACAGCTGGTCTCCCCTGAAAGATCCCCCAGACTATACCCAATGCTCTGGGCTCCCTTGGAAGCTGTCCTGAGGCCTAATCTCCTGGAGCGCCCACAGTCGTGCCTAGCAGGTGGCACTTCTCCTGCCACGAGGTGGACTGTCTGTTCCCTAGAGTAGTTGGGTTGATTCCCAACCTGGTTATGCCAATCATTTCATTTTTGCCATTTCATTAACTTAGGTAGTTAAAGAGCTCCATGAGCCAATGAAATTCAAGTTCAAAAAACCCAAGAGGAGTATTTCTGAAACTGCATCAGGTGAGAAGCCTGGCCCACAGTGGATGTGCATTCAATGAAGGAACACTGAAAAACAAAAACAAACAAAAAACAAAGGAACACTGGGCTCCCATTCATTTTTTCTCGTCTCCTCCTGTGGAGTTCATCACTTCACTTAGCAAGTACTTTCTGGTTTGCATTTAATGCATGGATGTGTAATTATTTGCTCACATGTCAGTCTCCTTCTCTAGACTGAACTGTTCAAAAGTCGGACCCATAATTTACTCACGTCCAGATATTTGGGCTTGACACAGATTTTGGTAGAGGGTGCATAAAAATGGTTATTTGTTTGAAACTAAATTAAAATCAAAATGGGACACAAAGATAAAATCAGGCACATCACACAGCGAGAAAAGATGAAAGAAGTAGATCAGTGTGGACCTTTTTATGCAACCAAGTACACATACTTAAATTGCTATTTTTAGACGCATTCTTTTATTGAGATAAAATTCACATAATAGGCGCACCTGGCTGGCTCAGTCAGTAGAGCATGCTACTCTTGATCTCAGGGTTGTGAGTTCGAGCCCCATGTTAGGTATGGAGCCTACTTAAAATAAAAAAAAAAATTTTTTTTAATTCACATAATAGGGGCACCTGGGCAGCTCAGTGGTTAAGCGGCTGCCTTCGGCTCAGGTCATGATCCCAGGGTCCTGGGTTCGAGCCCACACTGGGCTCCCTGCTTGATAGGCAGCCTGTTTCTCCCTCTCCACCACTTTTTTTTTTTTTTTTTTTAAGATTTTATTTATTTATTCATGAGAGACAGAGAGAGAGAGAGGCAGAGGGAGAAGCAGGCTCCCAAGGAGCAGGGAGCCCGATGCGGGACTTGATCCCAGGACCCTGGGATCGTGACCTGAGCCGAAGGCAGACGCTTAACCATCTGAGCCACCCAGGCGCCCTCTCTTGCACGCACTCTCTCTCAAATAAATAAAATCTTTGAAAAAAATATCACATAATAGAAAGTAAATAATTTCAAAATGTATAGTTCAATGGTATTTAGTACATTCACAATATTGTGCAGTCATCATCACTTCTACCTAGTTCCAAAATACCGCGGTATCTCTTAAGCAATCACTCCCCATCTCTCTCTTCCCCAGTCTCTGGCAACCACCAAACTGCTTTCTGTCTCGATGGATTTACTAATCTCCGTATTTCATATAAATGGAATCTTATAATCCACGGCCTTTTGTGTCTGGCTGCTTTCATTTAGCATGTTTTCTATATTAGTACTTCTTTCATTCCTTCTATGGCTGAATAAAATTCCATCAGATGGACAGACCACATTCTGTTTATCCATTCATCAACTGATGGACAGCTGGGTTGTTTCCATATTTTGGCTATTGTGAATAGTGCTACCATGAACACTCACGTACAAGTTATTTGAATACTTGTGTTAACTTCTTTTGCATATATAATTAAGCAGTGGACTACGGAGTCATTTAGATATCTTATTGTAAAATATTGCTTTTTTTTTAAAGATCAGTATAGAAGCAGATTTATCTTTTTGCATTAGAGCCCATTTCATCAATATTTTTAATAACTGCATGACTTTAGTACAGACATTCCATTATCATTTCATTTTAGAAGTACAGATTTTTATAAGTCTTTCTTTCATCTTAGCCTGTCATATTTACCCAGAGGTAGCCAGTAACAATAGTTTCAAGTACATCTTTCTTGTATTTTTAATGCAAAAATCTATGTACTTAAAAAAACAAAATGAGATCACACTAACTATATAATACTGGTCTGCAACTTACTATAAAGGATTGCAGGTACATTTTAACACAAGTACTTCGAAATTTACCTCATCCTTATACAAGAATGCATAGTATTCTATTGTACTAATGGGTCATAACTGACTTAATCCTTTTAATGGGCACGCAATTTCCAGATTTTCCCTTTTTTTCAAACAATCCCACACTGAAAACTTTATGTGTACATCTGTATCTATATCTTTAAAAACGTGTGCCAGTATTATGTACAAGAACTTCAGGGTCTATGAATATGGCATTTTAAATTGGAAAATATTGTCTTCCAAAATATCTATGCCAACAGTATGAGTATGTAAGTGACTTCTGCTCTGATTTTAAGTCAAGAAAACTAATTTGTGTATAGTCACAGAATATAGATTATAGAAACTCTACTATTATTAGGGTGAATTAGAATAAAGCCTATCATGAAGGTTAGAGAATTTTTAGAAGAAAATGTAAGTTTCAGGACACATTACATTCAGTTGTTTTTTTGTTCTTTTTTCTTTTTAAGATTTTATTTGAGAGAGAGTGAGCGAGGGTGCATGTGGGAGGGTGGGGCAGAGGGAGAGAGTCTTAAGCCAACTCTGCACTGAGGGCGGAGCCCAACCGGGGCCTTGATCTCACAACCCTGAGATCATGACCTGAGCCAAAACCAAGAGTTGGATGCTTAATTGACTGCGTGTCCCTCTATTTTGTGTTTTTAAGATTTAACTTTTTAAATTTTTTTTTTAAAGATTTTTATTTATTTGAGAGAACGAATGAGAGAGATCACAGATGGAGAGGGAGAAGCAGACTTGCCGCTGAGTGGAGAGCCCGATGTGGGGCTCAATCCCAGGTCCTTGGGATCATGACCTGAGCCAAAGGCAGATGCTTAACCGACTGAGCCACCCAGGCTCTCCAAGATTTTATTTTTTAAGCCCCAACGTGGGGCTCAGACTCACAATTCCAGAATCAAGAGTCACATGCTCTACCAACTGAGCCAGATGGGTATCTCCATTTAATTTTTTTAAAAACTACATCCCTTTCCCTTTCCCAGAGCTGAGGGGGTTAGAGAGATGAAAAGGAGCCAGTCATCTGAAGGTGGGAAGTGAGCTTCCAGGTACAGAAGAGCCTGTGTGATACGGAGCCTGGTCTGCTTTGGGACCTGCAGTCCATTGTGGCAGGAATATAGAAGGCAGAGGAAGAGTGGTTCAACTGAGGTAAGAGAAAGGTCGGGTCAGACCACGCACACATCTGGGGATCTGAACTTCACTAACTATGATAAAGCAATTAAAGGAGTTTAAGCAAGAAAATATCTTTCTGTCATAAAATGAAATGGAGAGACTGATTAGGAGGTCACTGAAATTAGAAGCTGATGGTGCTCTGTACGAGCAGTTGATTATGCACTAGAGATGGAGAGAAGTATGGGGCACCTGGGTCGCTTAGTGGGTTAAGCGTCTGCCTTCGGCTCGGGTCATGATCCCGGAGTCCCATGATTGAGCCCCGCATCAGCTCCCTGCTTGGCGGGGAGTCTGCTTCTTCCTCTGCCCCTCACCCCACTCGTGTTCTCTCTCTCTCTCTCTCTTTCTCTCAAATAAATAAATAAAATCTTAAAAAAAACAAAAAAAGAGAGAGAGAGAGAGAGATGGAGAGAAGTAGACAGAGCAAAGATGTGCATGCTGGAGGCTAGATCCACATGGCCTACTAATGGATTACATGTGGAAGTGAGAAAGAAGAAGGATTTAAGGAAGAAGGAGGATTCCTGGATTTCTGGCTTGAGTAACTGGGTAGAATGGTGCTGCCACTTACACAGGGGAAAGTCTGAAGCTCAGGGGCAAGAGTGCAGTTTTGGACATAAAATGTCTAAGAGATACCCGAGTGTCAATGTCAAGGAGGCCTTTGGATTTACAGACCTACAGGAGTCTCAGAGGAAGGGAAAGGGCTGAATTCATACATCTGGAGGTTTTAGGCATAGAGAAGACACTCAGAGCCCCAGGACTATGTGAAGACACATTTCTGTGAGGGGAAAGGCACCAAGTCTGAGACCAAGATCTCTGAAGCTGAATAGATCCAAAGTCTCCTGCTAAAATTCACCTGATAGTAAGTCTAACTCATTAATACTACATGAAATTTGATGAGGCTCGGAGAGTTAAGATGGTAAAGAATATCAAACCAGACCAGAGAACAGATAGTAAGTGAATGACGACTGCCTGCCCTTGGCATAGGATATAAGAAATTACCTTGCGATGCACTGTCGAAGGATTTGATGAGGGTTTTCACCGTAGGGGTTGGCTCGGAGGAAGTTGAGGACCTTCTACTCAGTCCCATCCCTTGCCTTAAGGCTGCCAAGTCTCTCTCCACAGCATTCATGTAGTTGTACACCCGGCCTCGCTCCTCCTCTTGCCTGAAAATGATAGTGACATCAGGCATTTTTACACACATACTAGCAAATACACATTTTCACCTCCCTACTGAAAAGCATTAAAAAGTATCACTTTTAAAAAAGACAGTATCAGTAGAGCTGAGTAAATAACCTAGTCTAATATTCTCATTTGTTTGATAAATTCCAGGAAATGATATTAAAATTTTTATATCAGGTTGTACTAAATAGGTTTAAAAGTAACCATCAGAATCCATTTTCATCTGAGAAAGTATAAGGTGAGGACATCAGTAATAAATTAGCAGTAAAATGGAAGTGGACTGGCCAAAAAGAACCTGACTCAGAACTGGGATCTTGAGGTTCTGTCCTGTTTTGAGGAGTCTGGGAATTCACCAGTACATTTGGGTTATCTATACTGGCCCTATCTAATACGCCATGTACAGACATGAAAATACAAAAGAAATGAAATCAAAGTTCATATTCTTTAAAACAAACCCTCTGTAATCTCCAAATAGAATTTCTACACAGGAAACAAAAAAACAAAACAAAACCTGGGCCCTATTAGTAACATGAGTCTCTGAGATGCTCAGTGGATGGATCATGAGTCATCTAAAAAAATCAATTACAATTTTATTTCTGGCTAGCTCTAATTCACTGAGCTGACTAACACAGAAGTTTTCATCTGGAACGAGATTTCAGTTGCAGAGTTTGTACATGCCATATAACCATGAAATAAGTTTATAGGTAGACAAAAACTAAGCCAGTCCTTGGGAAAATTTGGTAGCTATTTGGCTCTTCTGACAGATGTACCACAGGGTCTCATGCTCAGAAACTGGTTGTTTGTTTTTTTTTTTTAAGATTTTATTTATTTATTCGAGAGAGAGAGAGAATGTGTGTGTACAAGCCGGGGAGAGAGGCAGAGGGAGAGGGAGAAGCAGACTCCCTGCTGAGCAGGGAGCCCGATGTGGGGCTCAATCATGATCTGAGCCAAAGGCAGACGCTTAACCGACTAAGCCACCCAGGCGCCCCCCGTCATGCTCAGTTTTAACAAAGAATCTGTAACAGTGATTATCAAACCTTTTGGTCTTGGAGCCCCTTTCCACTTTTTTTTTTAAGATTCATTTATTTATTTGAGAGTGAGCAAGAGACAGAGCATGATCAGGGGCAGAGGGAGAGGGAGAAGCAGACTCCCCGCTGAGCAGGGAGCCCAAAGCGGGGCTTGATTCCAGGACCCTAGGACATGACCGAGCTGAAGGCAGACGCTTAACCGACTAGGCCACCCAGACCCTCCCCTTTCCACTCTTAAAAATTACTGAAGATCCCAAAGAGCTTCTCTTTATGTGGCTTATATCTATTGACATCATAATGGAAATTTAAACCAAGACATATTTAAAATACTTAATTCATCTAAAAATAAAAATAAACCCAGGACTTATCAATACAACATATTTTCATGAAAAACAACTATTTTCCAAAACCAAAAAAAGGAAGAAGAAGAAGCAGGAGAAGGAGGGGAGGAGGAAGAAGAGGAAGAATAGCAGTGTTTTTACATTTTTAATTATCTCTTTAATGTCCGGCTTAACAGAATACTGTTAGACTCTCATCTCTATTCAATATACTGTGAGATAAAAAAAGAACAGGGCTCAAAGATATGTAGCAGTTGAAAAAGAAAAGATTCTTTTAATGATATTAAAATAGATAACTGTGGCTTCTTAGACAACCGAGGCTGTTTTTCCTTGATACTATACTAAAATGTAGTAAGTGGTAGTTACTTCAAAGTTTGTTGCAATGTGGAATTTGAAACCATGTGAATAAACTCTTCCTACTCTGTCCATTAAAATTCCTCTAGTCTATCTTATACTGGAAATGGATCTTTTACCCATATGTGACTGCATTGGTCATACAGAAAATATCGGTTCACTGAATTACACGGATTTTCCAAATGTTGACACCTGTCATTATAGGATTTATTATTTAAAAGTCACATTTGTTAATATCGCCAATGATCTCACCAGGAAACTCTTAAATACGGAAGCTGCCAAGCTTGTGATGGCAGATACAAGTTTTCTAAAATCCTAACATTGACTTGAATTTCCACATTTTAGCACCGGCAACAAATACAGTCAGTTGTTTTCCTTGAAGTGACAGTCTCTCTTCATTCATTTTCAAGGAATATCTACCAAATACCAAAGTCTGAATATCTGTAGTTTGTTTCAGGTTGAGTTGTTTTCTGACCAACAGTCACAGAGCACTTTTCTTAAGACAACCTCATACTTGGGTATACAGCAGATATGGCGGAAGTGCTTTATGTACACTTCCCATTCATCACATGGAATGCTAAACAGAGTATATACTCAAGGACTGAGATTTAGTAAAATTAATTCACTGCTCCATCGAGGACATCTTTAGGACCTGATGGAATGATTCTTCAAGAGCAGAAATTTCAATTTCTCAGGTTAACGTCAGAATGAAACATTTCTAGGGGGTGGTGCAGCCAGTTAAGCATCCAACTCTTGGTTTCGACTCAGGTTGTGATCTCAGGGTCCTGAGATCTAGCTCCCTGTTGGGCTCCCACGCTCAGCACAGAGTCCACTTGAGATTCTTTCTCCCTCTCCCTCTGCCCCTCCCCGCCACACACTCTCTTTCTCCCAAATAAATAAATAAATCCTAAAAAAAAAAGAAACATTTTTGATACACCATTTCTTTAACAGTGTACAGAAAAAAGGTAATATAATATGAGTCTTACACCAAGTGGAGAAACAATAATCCTCCACTTCAATCCATGTTCTGCTTAAGGAAGCCAAAGAAAAATGGTTTAGTGATACTTTTCGTTGGGCCATACACTAGAGCTAGGCAACAATAAAACAAGATAGCTTTCCAAGGATATCCCGTTTTAAGTAGGCTCCACGCCCAACATGGAGCCCAACAAGGGGCTTGAACTCACAACCCTGAGATCAAGACCTGAGCTGAGATCAAGAGTCGGACGCCTATGGGGCGCCTGGGTGGCTCAGTCGGTTAAGTGGCTGCCTTCAGCTCAGGTCATGACCCCAGAGTCCTGGGATCGAGCCCCATATCAGGTTCCCTGCTCAGTGGGGAGCCTGCTTCTCCCTCTCCCTCTGCCTGCCTCCCGGCCTGCCTCTCTGCCCACTTGTGCACTCTCTCTTTCTCTGTCAAATAAATAAAACCTTTGGGGGAAAAAAAAAAGAGTCGGACGCCTAACCAACTGAGTCACCCAGGGACCCCATAAATATTTTTCTAAATTTTTTCCTATGTCTACCTAAGATTCAGTTAAAGTAATGAATAATCAAATATTTTTTTTATAAAGTAAACTCTATGCCCAACTTGGGGCTCAAACTCATGACCCCAAGATCAAGTCATATGCTCTACTGACTGAGCCAGCCAGGCGCCCCTAGATAATCAAATTCTTTTTTTTTTTTTTTAAAGATTTTATTTATTCATTTGACAGAGAGAGCCACAGCGAGAGAGGGAACACAAGCAGGGGGAGAGGGAGAAGCAGGCTTCCCGCAGAGCAGGGAGCCCGATTTATTTATTTGACAGAGAGAGACACAGTGAGAGAAGGAACACAAGCAGGGGGAGTGGGGGAGGGAGAAGCAGGCTTCCCGCAGAGCAGGGAGCCCGATTTATTTATTTGACAGAGAGAGACACAGTGAGAGAAGGAACACAAGCAGGGGGAGTGGGGGAGGGAGAAGCAGGCTTCCCTCTGAGCAGAGAGCCCGATGCAGGGCTCGATCCCAGGACCCCGGGATCATGACCTGAGCCGAAGGCAGACGCTTAACGACTGAGCCACCCAGGCGCCCCCCAATGATCTCTATGTTAATGGGAAAAAATACTACTATGGAGATTCAGGTGGTTGTAAGTGAAAACTCCTCAAGTGAGTGATGGAAAAAAACTCACTTCGCATTCTTTACTTGGGTCTCTAATAATATTAGTTATTAAAGTAGGGGCGCGTGGGTGGCTCAGTTGGTTAAGTGTCTGATCCTGGGTCCTGGGATCAAACCCCACGTTGGGCTTACTGCTCAGCGGGGAGTCTGCTTCTCCCTCTCACTCTCCCTCTGTGCTTTCCCCCTCTCTTTCTCTCAAATATATAAAATCTTAAAATAAAATAAAATAAAGTATACTCATCATTGCCCTGGCCACTATGCAGGCAGATCTCCTTTAAGCCTTACAGCAACACTGTAAGCCAGGTAGTACTGTCTCCATCTTAAAGATGAGCAAACTGAGGCTTGGGGAAGTTAAGGGCCCTGACCAAGATCACATAGCTAGTAAGAAGCAGAACTGGACAGGAGTCAAGCCTATCTGCCTCCACAGTACACATCCTTAATCAGAGGCTATTAACCTAAAGCAAAGTAAGAGGGCTGGAGTGTGGAGATACAGGAAAGGAGAGAACTAGAAGGTACCTTGTGCCAGGGACCAGTCTGGCCCCTCCAGAGCTGTTAATTAAGGCACTGACAACAACTCTGACAGATCATATAGACTGTGCTATTTTACAGGTGTCATAAAGTGAGGCCAGAAAAGTTGAGTAACTTCCACTAGGACCCACACTCATTCTTTCCATAATACCACATCACAAAATTGGGATTTAAGTGTTCTCTATTAAAACATAAGTGCACAAGTGGTTTCTCAAAAACATACTTGCGTGACTTTATTTCCTCCAATTCTTTGGTGAGTTTCTCATTTTTTTCTTGAGCCTCATGTAACCGACGCTTCAAATCGCCAATCTCCTCTTGGGCTTCAGATTTAATATCATTTGCAATGACCACAGCAGTTTGGAGATCAGCCTGAAACTGCCGCCATTCCGCAGATTCTTCCTACATTAAAAAACTAAATTTTTATTTCCAAGAGAGAGCAATACTTACTTAAAAATAATAAAATGTGTTTATGACTGCACTGTAATGCACTATCCCAAATGATGATTAATTTATTTTAAATCTCAGAGAATTGCTATTATCATTTCTAACAGGTAACAGGTAATACAATCATTAGTAGTGAACTTGTTCTTAATGAGAAGACTTTCTAGCTGCTCTGCCTCACGAGAGTACTCAATCAATATCAATGACAAAAACGTCAAGTCTCCCTTCCTTATGCAAGTTTACAAGTCTTATGAAAATAAACACATCGTTCGAAATTTACAGCACTTTACCTCTGAAAAGTAAATAATGGTGTGTGAACCATACTGAAAGATTTTACAGTGAAAAACTATAAATATCTTGACATCAAAAACTAACAGGAAAAAAAAATCAGAAGTCAAGGAAAAGGAAGAGGAAGCCCGAAGAAAAACACTAAACTCAAACTAGGCAGACAAAATCATACAAAGAGAGGAGCTAAGGAACTGTACAGTCTGCGGCTTCCCACAGCCATGGAGGATGCGGGTGTGACTGGGTGGACAAGCCTCCCCAGGGTGTCGCTTCCACCAGACCCACAGCTGTCCAGTCCCGGGCCCAGCATCCATCACCCCAAAGCAATTTTCTGACACCATGAATACAGCCTGGTAACTGAGGCATGACCCAAACTCTGAGATGAGCTTCCCCCACCTCTGCAGCAGAGTGGCACTGCTGTTGGCAAGCTGATCAAATTCAAAGTAGATAGAAAACCCAGATGAAAACAGCTTGGTTCGGGACACTTTCTAATCAAGAGCGAATAATTTTTCTTTCCAAAATATAACACTTGCTTCCTAAATCCATCGTTTTAAAATTACCATTCATAAATTACTAGTAGATTCTTCTATCCAAAATCTAGCACTAATCCCAACTTGAAATGATGGCATTTGCTTTGTGCCCAAAGCCCAGTAGGATCAGTATTTTAACTGTATCTGAAGCTTAAGATGAATGCTAACACGATCAAGGACTACACTGTACTCAACTTTCAGAAACCTAGGTATTCTAATGAGATAATACATGAGGATTTAGCCTACCCGAAGTCTCCTGTGGAGTGTCTTGATTTCTCTTTCCATGTCATGTTTTTGGTCCTGCAGTTTTTTAACCGTATCTGAAAAGAGCACAGAAGTTTAAATATTTATTCTTAAAGCTGTGTTCCCAGGAATAATATAAAGACAGGTATTTAAATATGGCATTCAAAAAAAAAAAAAGGTCATCCTGTCCAAAGACTTTTTATTTTTAATACAAAACTCTAAAAGAAAAAAAGAATGTTCAATCCAAGTATTTTTTTTTTAAGATTTTATTTATTTATTTGACAGAGAGAGAGACACAGCGAGAGAGGGAACACAAGCAGGGGGAGTGGGAGAGGGAGAAGCAGGCTTCCCGCGGAGCAGGGAGCCCGATGCGGGGCTCAATCCCAGGACCCGGATCATGACCTGAGCCGAAGGCAGACACTTAATGACTGAGCCACCCAGGCGCCCTGTCCAATCCAAGTATTAACGAATATTACTTTCTAAGGAAAGTATCAAGTTTAAATCACAATTTCTGGATTGCTTCCTTCCTCAGTGTCTTAATTCTGAAACAAAAAGTTAAGTAAAATCAATTGTTAGAAACACACACATTGTTGGCTCATAACCAATCAAAATAACACTATTATTAAAGTGTGACCTTTTGGGGCGCCTGGGTGGCTCAGCCCTTAAGCATCTGCCTTTGGCTCAGGTCATGATCTCAGGGTCCTGGGATCGAGCCCCGCATCAGGCTCTCTGCTCTGCTGGAGGCCGGCTTCTCCCTCTCCCGCTGCCCCTGCTTGTGTTCCCTCTCTCCCTGTGTCTGTCAAATAAAGAAATAAAATCTTTATAAAAATAAAAAATAAAGTGTGAACTTTTAATCAAAAGGTTATTAAACTAAACTCTTTATGAAAGCATAGCTTATTTTACACACTGGAATAAATTCCAGAAAAGTGGTGAATCAGAAAATTTTTACAAACTTAATTCTCTGGGGAGCTGCTATTTACATTAATTCTACGGAAAGTCTTTTTATAAAATAAGTGATATATTCATAAAATAAATCAATACTCCTCAAATTATTTCTTACATAATATGAATTTTCCTTAAACAATTCCGCTTTCACTGTAAACATTTAATGAGTACCACTAATATGCAAAGTACCATTCTAGATAGAGTGGGAATGCAAACATGAAGGCCCAGTCAAGCCCAGTGCCCCTGGAACCAGAAATGTACAGGAAGTCACATTCTATTTGGAGGTTCTGCTCAAAAGTCCATGTTTAAGAGGAAATGCCTTAGGAGGTGCCCACTGGTAACTGCCACCCAGTAAATCTATCACAGTTGGTTACTCTGACAGCTCAGGGACCGAGCACTTTCTCATGGCTTAAGCACCAGAAAAGGCACTGACATCTGGTGACAAATTCTCTGACTTTGCCTGCCACCCCCCGCCCCCTCCAGGAGAGCCCTATCCTTTCTATGTTCCAGCTCTGTAACTGTTGCTCCCAACACTGTTACACTTCTTTACACATCTGTCTCTACCACTAGACTGAAAACACTTCAAAGTCAGGAGCTATGTGGTGACTTCACAGCTCCAACACCTGGCACATGGTAGGGCTGTAAAATGGGATAAATGTATAAATATGCAGGCTAATGGAGGGAGCAAGAGAAAGCGATACTAAAATCAGAACCTAGGATTTTTTTAAAAAATATTCCACTGACAGAACTGAACTCTTTATTATCAGGGACAACATCACTATGGACACTGGTGTTTCTGAGTAAACATTCCCTCTTATTCCTTACACTTACTTAGTAGCAGAAACCTAGGCATAGTGAACACCTTCGTGAGGTGTCACATGTAATCAAAAAATTGTCCTGGCTGGCTGTCAGTGGAGCATGCGACTCTTGATCCTGGGGTTGAGGATTCAAGCCCTACGTTGGGTGTAAAGATCACTCAAAAACAAAATCTTCAAAAAAAAATCTTGGGGGCGCTTGGCTGGCTAAGTCGGTAGAGCATGTGACTCTTGATCTCAGGATTGTGGGTTCGAGCCCCATGTAGGGTTTAAGAGTACTCAAAAATAAAATCTTTTCAAAAAAAAATCTTCTTGGCGTACCTAGGTGCCTCAGTTGGTTGAGCGATTTCGGCTCAGGTCATGATCTCAGGGTCATGGGATGGAGCCCCAGTCACTCCCCAGCAGGGAGTCTGCTTTTCTCCCTCTCCCTTTGCCCTTTGCCCAACTCACACCCTCTCTCACCCTCTCAAATAAATAAGGCGTAAAAAAAAACTTCCTTAAGTTAACAAATTATTTACTTTTTTTTTTTTTAAAGATTTTATTTATTTATTTGACAGAGAGAGAGAGAGACAGTGAGAGCAGGAACACAAGCAGGGGGAGCGAGAGAGGGAGAAGCAGGCTTCCCACAGAGCAGGAAGCCCGACGCAGGGCTCGATCCCAGAACCCTGGGATCATGACCTGAGCCGAAGGCAGACGCTTAACGACTGAGCCACCCAGGCACCCCAACAAATTATTAACTTTTAATCAACACCCTAAAGTAGGAGTGTGCTGTTGTCTTTTCTTAAACTGTTCATCTTCCCCCTCCCAATTCCATCAGGAACCTGCTCTGCTGTAAACCTCTGTGACATGATACCTTTAATTCAACATTGATACATTTGTGTTCAGATATTTTTATTTTTTTAATTTTTTAAGTTTTTCTTTCTTTCTTTTTTGAGAGAGAGAGAGCACGTGAGCAAGGCAGGGAGGGGCAGAAGGAGAGGGAGAGAGAGAATCTTAAGCAGGCTCCACGCTCAGCACAGAGCCCAATGCAGGGCTCAGTCTCATGACCCTGAGATCATGACTTGAGCTGAAACCAAGAGTCAGACGCCTAACCAACTGAGCCATGAAGGTTTGCCCAGATATTGTATATGTGTAATAATTATTGTAACTATATAATGATGATACATTTTCTAAACCTGAATAAAAAATAAATGAGATAAAACATGGGAGGAAAACCTGGCCAATTTTGGTAGCCAGTAGTTAACTCCCCCCCATTCATCAACACAAAACTGTTCAACAAAGTTGGGGCCTCTGAAATAAAAAGGGTTTGCTCCCGTATGACCTACATACAGAGGAATTCAAGGTCTTGGTGATATGATCAGACACAGATAAAAAGGACAGAAGCTGAAATATTTCTAGTGTTGGGAACACTAGGAGTTACACCTTTCATTTACACTATATTTAAATGCAAAAATTTGGGGGCACCTGGGTGGCTCAGTCGGTTTAGCCTCTGCCTTCAGCTCAGGTCACAACCCCAGGGTCCTGGGGTGGCGCCCGCACTGGGCTCCCTGCTTGGTGGGGAGCCTGCTTCTCCCTCTCTCTCTGCTGCTCCCCCTGCCTGTGCTCTATCAAATGAATAAATAAAACCTTTTAAAAACTAAATAAATAAATGCAAAAAATTTTATAATTAAAATAGGCAAGCAAAAAAAAAAAAGTGAATTTCTCCTCCTCGGCTGAAACAGTTTTCCTTTTTTTCTGGTCACAAAAGACATATCTATGTATCTTTAGATAATTCACATAAGACAAATCACAGCAAATCTTACTACTGCTCACTTTTAACATCTGGTGTGTCTTGATTCGCAGGTGACATTTTAAGCCACCTGGCCATCTTAGACTGGTCATAAAATCCCAGATTTCATTCATCTCTTTGGTTGTTATTCTTTTCTCTTTCCCAAACTCTACATTCATGACCACATCATCACTACTCTTAATAGGGCATTCTTCTTGGGGCGCCTAGGTGGCTCAGTTGGTTAAGCGACTGCCTTCAGCTCAGGTCATGATCCCAGTATCCTGGGATCGAGCCCCGCATCGGGCTCCCTGCTCAGTGGGAAGCCTGTTTCTCCCTCTGCCTGCCACTCCCCCTGCTTGTGCTCTCTCTGACAAATAAATAAAATCTTTAAAAAAGGAGGAGGCATTCTTTTGTACTCAGCACTATGTATTTATTATTGGCATGTCTTATTAATCCTTTTAAACAGAAAGGAAAGGAACCTGGCAGCCAGTGGACATATTTAGGCAAAATAAAGTGCACTACAAGTGTCTCTAGGGAATTTGACTTAAACTTCATGAATCATAACTGTATTTTCACTTTGTAACATAAAGTATTAAAAATGACAACAGACTTTTCCTCCTTGGAAACCAAAGGAGTATGTACATATGCTCTTGTTTTGAAGACCAGCTTAAAAAAACTGCCATCTGGCCCAATTAATGGTCACACAGAAGGGCACTGTTAGTCTTCAAGTCTGGGGCCGCTAAATGCGCTAAAACTTCCTCCTCCAAGTTTTTCTAAAATGAGGGGACACTGCCATCTACTGTCTTCAACTCAAAAGCAACATTACATTCTATCAAAGAACGGAAGAACTACTATGATCTCATTTTTAATTACAAATTATAATTCAATTTTACAATGTTATTTTTTTATTCTAGAAATCAGGTAAATTGTTATTCTCACTGGTATTAAACCAACTTTGCTCTGGACAATTCTGGGCACTGCCCTGCCCATTTAATAATGGGGTTCATAATCTTTTCACCACTAAGAGCTCTCGTCCCTGACAAAGAAGGAACAATCAACCAGGCTTCATTCTGGCCCAGTTATATGCCCATCATACATGCAGATGTTACTAGGGAGCTACCATGAGCACAGACTCAACCTATGGCTCCCGGGGGTATAAAAATCAATGAAAGGTTGGGGCGCCTGGGCGGCTCAGTCGGTTAAGCATCGGCCTTCGACTCGGGTCATGATCCCAACGTCCTGGGATCGAGCCCCACACTGGGGTCCTGCTCGGCAGAAAGCCTGCTTCTCCCTTTCCCTCTGCCTGCTACTCTGCCTACTTGTGCTCTCTATCTCTCTGTCAAATAAATAAATAAAATTGTGGAAAAAAAAAAATCAGTGAAAGTTCACAAGCAACCTTTCGTGGTTTCCAAATCCAAGAAAACCCTCAGGGTACTACTGATACCTCAGTGCTGTCAGACCCTTACATCCTTATCAAGCACCTCCAACTAACATCAGGTGCAACTTCTAGAGGAAGCGAAAGGACAAGTGTAAACAATCAGTTAAAATA